CGGGCGGGCTTCCAGCCCCCGGGGCTTTGTGCCGGGGTGCCCCAGGTGAGTCCGTGCTAGGCCGGGCGACACCTCTCTCCCTTCCAACCCCTCGGGCCGGGCGGTGCCGTCACCGGCCCCTCCGGGGTGTCCTGGCTCCTCCGCAGGAGAAGGGGTCTTTTGCTGAGACTGTCTTTTCGGCATGTTTTTCGATTTCTTTTTGAATAAAGTAGTTATGCTGTGGGCAAGAGAAGAGGCGCTGGGTTTGTGAGGAGGGGGCAGAAGACGGGGGCCTCGGCCTTGCCTGGAAACCGCACCAGCCCGAAACAGACAGGCGGGAGGATAAATACGGGACTGGAGGAGCGCTGACAAGGGGGGTGAAATGGTCTTTAATTTAATGTCCCACCTCCCCCTCGGCCCAAGCAGGCAGGCCTGTGCGTTGCTGCCACAAGAGATTTCCCCTCCCTGCCTCCCTTTTGGTTCGCAGATGGACCAGGATCAGTTTGGGAGAGGAAGGGAAACAAAAAGAGCCACTTTAGTCTGGAGAAGAGGAGGCTGAGGGGAGACCTCATCACTCTCTACAACTCCCTGAAAGGGGGTTGTGGTGAGGTGGGTGTTGGTCTCTTCTCCCAAGTAACTAGCGACAGAACGAGAGGAAATGGCCTCAAGTTGTGCCAGGGGAGGTTTAGATTGGATACTAGGAAAAATGTCTTTATGGAGAGAGTGGTCAAGCATTGGAACAGGCTGCCCAGGGAGGTGATAGCGTCACCATCTCTGGAAGTGTTCAAAAAACGTGTGGATGTGGCGCTTCAGGACATGGTTTAGTGGGCATGGTGGTGTTGGGTTGATGGTTGGACTTGATGGTCTTAAAGTTCTTTTACAACCGTAATGAGTCTGTGATTCTGCATTTTGGAATGTCTTTCGGTATGTACTTGGGGTTCCTGCCGTTGGGAAGCCCTGACTGAATTACTCTCCCATGTGGAAGGAACCTTTTGCTGTGCTGGTGACCAGTGCCTCGCCAGCTTGTTACATGCTCTGCTCCCCAACGGGTCGCTCATTTGCACCACCCGTGGAACTGCTGCCGCATTTGCACTGAACACGTTCAGTCTCTGACTTTAAAATAAAAACAGATGTCAGAAATGCTTTCTTTCTAGCCAGGTGTTCCTCTCATCACTTACTCTGGTAATGCCTGCACAGTAAGGGAAGGATTCCAGAATTAGAGCCAGACAGACAAGAGAGTGAGAAAGGAGTTACAAGACATCTGTTCCTTAAAAAAGGTGGCTGTGTTTCTGTGCTTTTTTGTAAAGCTGCTGCCTTATTACTGAGGTGACTGATACAACTAACATGACTGACAGCATGATGTTCTGGTGCTAAAGGAAGATAGAGAAGTCTCCTTAGCATCTACAGTAAAATAACTGTGATGAATAAATATAATACAGTATTTTGTTCCACTCAATATCTACCTAGGTAAATAAGTTCTCTTAATACGGACGGGGACTGCCACTGCCATTGCTGTGCAGCCTGCATTACGTTGTGACTGCTTGTCTCTGCTGAGATAAAAACAGTTGTAAAAAACGGTGAAAATCTTGTCATATTACCTAAGAGAAATGGACTGTGTCATGGGAATATATGTTTTTACTGCTGTATTTTCATGTGTTGTACAGGCTGGTTTGCAAAACCTACAGAAAAGAAGACATCTGTGATTTCGCATGAGGAGATGAAGGCAGCATTTATGGCTGAAATGAAAGCTGAAAACATCAAGCAGTTTCTTTAGTAAGCTATGTGTAGACTAATCACTCAAAAAAAAAAAAAGTAAATCCAAGCAGAAACCAGCCCAAGGATGCCTCCAGACAGAGGATGGTGTGTAGGTTCTCAGCCATAGGTTTTATCTAAGTGTCTCAGTGAGTTCATTGACAAAACTGTCCATCTTAGCTCCTCTCATTCTTGTTTGTGTTGGAAACAGTTGAGGAGTTGTCAGTAATCTCAATACTTAAAAACTGGCCAAGCTCAGTCTTTGGTGGATGCTTGTACAATGATGTAGAGCTTCAGTATTTCTCTTACGTGTCCTTTTTGAGTCTACAACAATGTTTATCTTACATTGTTTTTTGTGGAAAAATCATTCACTTCAAATTAGGCTGTATGAATGAACTTAAATCAGGAGAGTTTAAATGGAAAATAGTGGAGTACATCAATATAAAAGAGAAGAAAATCATATCAGTGTTCAAGGCTTTAGTTCTTCCTACAGCTTAAGCCTTAATACCTTATTGCTACTCTCCCTTCACACTTTGTCATGCTGTGACCAAATTTATGTGTTAATCTGTCACTATTCTGACATTGTACTCACTTTCACGAAGAAAGGTATGTTTCCAAGCTCTTTCCACAGCTAGAACAGACAGAGAAGGTACTGGCTAGTCAGCTGATGGTACATTACACTGCTCATAACAAATCTAATAGTCTTAAAGCTTTGGAGTCTTTTTTAAGATGATGTTTTTTTCACGATATTTTTTTTATCTCCCTTTTAGTACTTAAGTCAGTTGATTTTAAATGTACTGTTATTTCTTTTATTAAATCATAGAAAGAAAGCTGCTAACATTTGTTCCTGAAAATTCAAACAATGGAAGATGACAATAAAGATTTTTTTAAAAAAATCTGTTACAGTTGAATTTCTGTAATGAATTTCTTAATTTCTGTAATGTAGAAGCTTTAACTGCAAGGAAGCTGATGCACTATTATTTGTTTATTTTAAGGATCTTGTAAACACATTGTTTTTGTCTTAGGAGAGTGTAATATTTCTTAAAAACTGTATTTATTCCAGTCAGCAATAGACCAGAAGTCATAGTTTATTGATAGAAATTTACTTTCTGTGTAAAGAAAGACTATCAGTTATTTTAGGAGTAATCAATAAATTCAGGTTCACCTTAAATTCCCAGCCCAATTAAATAGCATTTAGTTGTATCTTGCTACAAAAATAAATTACTAAAAAAACATTTTTGGTTTGTAAGATTGTGGCAATCCCACTCATTTCATTTTAAGTGCACTTGCCACAAACTATTGCAAATAAATTACCTGGAAGTTAGCTGTTCTCTTTACTACGTAACAGCCATGTCCTGGACTATATCAACATTGAGAACCGAACACACAGGATTTTTTGCAGTCTTAACCAGTGTTTTGGCTCCTACAAAGTCAACTGCTGTTAAACAGCTCTGTAAGACGACTGCTTTGTGCTGTCTGAACTCCCTGTCTCTATGCCAACAGGAAATGTTGTACCTCATTTACTGCCATGCTGCCAGTTCTGGGGTGAAATATGGCAGATATTTAGTTGCTACTCAAAATTGCTAGTACAGGCAGTCAACAAGAAGAGGAAATGAAGAAAAACACAACATTTAGTAAATGGGAATATAATAGAGGAGAATGTTATTGCGTAAGTCAAATTTTAATGAAAACACAAGACTTAAATATTCCTAACTCCTACAGAAAACAGCCGTTGACTCTAACAATAACACATAACTGCTCTTAGTTCAGTATGTCATCCAGAAAGTGGTACTGTCACTGTAACAGGGACTTTTAATACACTGTTGGTACCAGACATTGACATTATCAGAGGAACATGGTTTTATCTAGCAGTATTCAATACAAAAAGAGAAGTGTATAGTTCTTTCAAAGTGCTTTGTTTGATGGCTTTGTTCTCACTGGAACTCAAGAAATAATTTTTTTCCTAACAATATATCCCTTTCTTATGGAAGATCCAATTTCCTTCAGTAACATCAGCTGGTGCTGTGGCATGCTGAAGACCTGGTCATATGACAGGATGAGGACATCATGATGATAACCTCATTCAGATGGGAGTTTCCTCAGCTCACTTCATCACTGGGCTTTCTCAGTGGTCTCAAAAATTTTTTTTCCAGATAGTGGGTTGTTCACTATGGTATCTTTCACTGTTATTCAACCTGGATGACTTTTTCTCATAAGTCACAAGCTGTTGAGTTTTTCTGTTCCTTGTTTGTAAACTACTATGAACTTGCTCTCTCTTATTTGCAAACAGGACACACTCAGAGGGAACTTTTAGATAAATCGGTATTTGTGCCAAGATTAGTTAAAATAGTGGGATCCAAAGAGAATGTGCAGTTAATTAAATGTAGAGATCAGAGTAATTGCACACATTTCTAAATTGAGTACAAAAAAATAATTCTACTCCGTTCCTTTATCACTTCACATGGAAGGTCAGTCTCATTACACATAGGAGTGATTGGCCTAAGGTCACCCAGAAGACAAGGAGTAACGCAAGGACAACAGACCCACAGCTGATGTCATCATGCCGTTCTTGCTAAGCTAGGCTGTGAGGAAGATACAGATACCTGTGACAGCTCAGGACAGACTGAAACCCTTAACCTCAACTGATGTATAAGACAAGGGAAAAACATGATGCAGAGAAGTCTGGGTCCTTATTTAGCACGGGTACATCTGATCATCTCTAGGGGGTTTATTTCCAGCTAGGCTAAGAGGGGTTCTGATTATGAGCTGCAACTCCTGATCCTGACTTGTTGCTTCTTTTTCTCTAGCAATTTTACACGGCTCCCTCACCTAGCAGGAACAAAGGAGAATCTGCATCTGGCCCAGCAAATCCAAGCTGAGTGGAAGGAGTTTGGTCTGGATTCTGTTCAACTGGTTCATTACGACGTCTTGCTCTCTTACCCTGATGACACTAAGCCCAACTACATCTCAATAATTGATGAGCATGGAAATGAGGTACAGAAAACACCGGTTTTTGCAACCAGAGAACAAAATTACCTTCAGACACCTGGGAAGACTGGGAGGAAATCTATCCTCTGCTCTGTTAATGGTGTTGGGCCTGATGCAAAGCACACAGAAATCAGGGATTCCAGTTTGCTTTTATATTCTGTATCTTTGTTTTGTAATGTGTGTGCTAGGAATACTAATAATTAGCCTGATTCATATAGCATACTGACGTGTATGGAGTAAAGGAGAATTATGTAAGAGAATTACTTAATGTCATTCAGTAGTTTTAAAATTACTCTGTTATTTAGAAAGAGGGAAGCAACTGTGCTCAGCATCGTTATCTGCATTGGTTCATTATACCGTACTGGTGATTGTGCTAAATGCAGTTTCCTGAAGATTAGAGTTTAGGCCTCGAGATGTATTATCACAAGTAACATCAGTTCATTACAGAGCAGCTCTAGTGCTTGTAGAAGCTCCAGGGATGAGCAGATCGCAAGCGGTTTTTACCATTATGATCTAACCTGTTGTACTGAGACCACCTTAAGGGACCCTGTGTTCATTTCAGCAGG